ATGAGTTATATAGAATGAGTTATGAGTAAAGTATATATTATAGAGGAGTTAATATAGTGAGTTATATAATGGTGGGTTAATGGTGGTGATGAGAGAGAGAGAGAGAGAGAGAGAGAGAGAGAGAGAGAGAGATAGGGAATAATGATAATGAAACGAGATAAAATGAAAGAGAGAGAGATAGCTTCAATAATTAAAGACTATTACACCTGAGGAATGCTTTTAATACCGAGAGCAAACAAGACTATCAGGCACCTGCTGTAAGTCTCCCCGTCACACCTTGATTACTGCACTGATACTGTCTGGACTTACCTGCAGGCTGCTGACCACACCTAACCCAACCACACTACGCCGCTGACCACACCAGAATTCAAGTCAATGGGCCCCAGTTCTGATAGACCATAACTTAACCTTCATCTTAGGTTAGGTTAGGTTAATGTTAGGTTAAGTTTGGTTCGGATAGGTTAAGTTAGGTTAGGTTAATGTTAGGTTAAGTTTGGTTAGGATAGGTTAAGATTGTCACTCATCAAAACTCAGATTCGTAAGACCATCAACACAACTGGTCAGCGAAGTCTCTCTCTCTCAAACTTTACATATAAATAAACAAACTGTATTATCCCTTCAGCGAGTCATAGATCCACCTCGTTAAAGGACACCATAACTAATTAGACCTCTTATTATTATCATTCTCTAATTGTCCATGGAGTTGTGTAGTTCTTAGTCCCGTTCTTTGTTTAACCTCTTGTGTACGGGGTCGCCTCTGAGCTGAATAAAATCATCTAGTTAAATGAAGTATTAAAAGTGGCGTTCTTGTAGCGAAGGAGTTAAAAGACCTTAGTTGTCGAAGCTTAATAAATCATCGTATAGTAGTAGTAGTAGTAGTAGTAGTAGTAATGATCAGCATCATTGTGAAGTGGTGTTGTTCCTATGAAAAAACAAGTATTAAAGATTTTAAACAAAAGTGCTATTCCAGTTTCAATTAATACGACTCGTGTATACTCAGCCGTAAAGACAACACGAGTATAATGAGATGTTTATTAAAAATATATCCTCGAGTATAATAAGGCCATCGGGGTATTATAAATGGATATAAAGCTATCTGAAACATCTTAATGAACGCAGCAGTACAAGGAAGGTCAATACCATCTTGGAGAGAAAGTAGCGGTGAAGTCGACGAACAGTGCAGAGGCCGATGGTGTCCCGCTGGGCCGCGTGAACCTCCTCTTGTGTTTAACAAGGTAATTTCTTCTTCCTCTTTTCTTTTTCTTGGTCTTCTTCTTCTTGTAGTCGTGTCCTCCTTACAGCTGGTGTGTCCTACAAGATGCACTGCTGCTATAGGATATTTGAAGTGCCCTTTGAAGGATGTGGAGTCCTGTGGGTTTTTAATGGCGTTTTATAGGATGTATGGCGTCTGTTTAAAGGTTGAAGAATACTATTTAATGTCCTTCATGATGTCCGGTGTCCGACTAGAGAGAGAGCGTCAGCCAGGCAAATTCATTGGTTGGAACACTGCGACATCGTCTTACGGATATAGATTATGTGTCCAACCAATCCTAACCAAATCTACCCTTGCATCGTCGAGTTAGGTTAGGTTAAGTTAGGTTAAATTAGCTTAGATTAGGTTAGGTTAAATTTGGTTAGGTTTAGTTAGGATAGCTTAGGTTAAATTAGGTTAGGTTAGGTCAGGCTAGGTAGGTTTCATTTCTCTATAACTGTAACTATTGCGAATTGTAAAAAAAATAATAATTAATACCTCCACCAACCACAGCCTGGGATACACTCTGTCTCTAACTACCGGTACAATAGCCACCACAGCCTGGGATACACTCTGTCTCTAACTACCGGTACAATAGCCACCACAGCCTGGGATACACTCTGTCTCTAACTACCGGTACAATAACCTCTTATACCAAGTCCGGGCGCCATTTTTGTTTACATTCAGAGGGTAACTTAACCAATGTTACCTCCGGCTTAATATGTCCATTCATCTGATTCGTTCGGCCACTCTGGTTAGTCTCGGGTAGTGAACTATCTTGTCTTCTGATGGTGACCCTGATTGTGGCTAGATTGTGACTCTGTGCTTAAGATTGTGACTGTTTCTGGTTGTGACTCTGATTGTGGTTTTGATGGGCTCATGAGGACGTGGTTCTTGAGTTTAATGATGGTAATAGTCGGACTAGTTGATGCTTTAACTCTGTAATGTTATGACTGCCGGGTAAATCATGTTGAGAGAGAGAGAGAGACTGACAGACTCTCTCTCTCTCTCTCTCTCTCCCTTTTTGTGCCGCTTTGATCAAGAAACCTGTTCCCTCTAATTCATCTACATGCCGACACACACACACACACACACACACACACAAGAGTAACATCAGTACTCATTAGTTCTGTTGCGGGTCAGGACACAACAAACAAACAATAAATAAAACAAATAAATAAATAAACAAATAAAAAATGTGTCGTTAAAAGAGACGTTTCTACTTACATATATCTTCTTTTGTTTATTTGTTTAGCTGAAGTTGTGTGTGTTTGTTTGTTTGTTTGTTTGGGTAATGTGGATGTGTGTGGGTGGGAAGGTGTGTGGGTGGATGAGATGGAGTTGCACTAGGGGTTTGTGGGTAAGGATGAGAGAGAGAGAGAGAGAGACCCACCCTCCCTCCCTCCGTCCAGTCTCTATAGGTTAATCTCTCACACAACGCCTCAACACAGAGAAGACTTCAAGAAACACACCTCAAGCAACACTCTGTCAAGTCTCCACATTGCTAAGCGTACTCTCTTTATTATCACTATTTGTTTTACTCAATTTCTCTTCTTTTTTCTTTTCTTTCCCGTGTCCAACATTCTTTCACGTCTAGACATTCAGCGTGTCCATATTCTCAAGAGACATTATTTATTTGCAACGTGGCTAAGGGTTGAATGTTTGTTTACGTATTTTTAAGAGACTACGCTGTTCAGTATTTAACTTTGAGGTATTGTTGGAACGATTTGTTTATGAGTGTATTTTTTTAAGAGAATACGATATTTAGAATGAGATTTGAGGTAATATTGGAACGATTTTGTTTATGGTTATACAGTACAAAATTTAAGGAATGAATTTTAAAGTAATATTGCAACGTCTTTCTTATGCTGGCATATTTTTAAGGGAAATCGCTACTCAAAATAAAATTAAAGTTAATATGAAATGGTTATATTTATATACTTTTAAAAGAACATATTGGTACGCGTAATATATACATATATATATATATATATATATATATATATATATATATATATATATATATATATATATATATATATATATATATATATATATATATATATATATGAATTTGGAGTGATATTGGAACGCTCTTGTTGACATTATTTAAATAGATCGTGTTGCAGAGAATGATTCGGTGGTAATGTAAGAACGCCTTTGTTGACGTATTTGTAAAAGACTATCACGTCATCGCTGAGGAGACGGTGATGTGAAAAATAATGTTGGAACGTTGTCAATAATTTAAAGGTTATAGTTTATGAAGAATGGTGTTTGTTTTATAGATGAAATACAGTTTTATAATGAACAGGTAAACGTACGTGAGTGTGTGTGTGTGTGTGTGTGTGTGTGTGTGTGTGTGTGTGTATTAGTGTATTAGGAGGAAGAAGCCGAGGAGGAGGGAAGTAGGAAGAGAAAGAAGAAAAAGAAAGAAAAACGTTAGAGAAAGAGAGGAAGGGGAACAGAAGATAAAGGAGGAAGATACAAAAAACAAGAAATAAGACAGACAGACAGAGACAGACATAAGAAACTTCCCAACAACACAAAACTTCAAAAATTTACTTCAGAAACTCTCAAAAACCCGTAAGTTATTTTTTTACCGTAACTGATAAAAAACCACTTAAATTTATAGTCTCGGGTGTAAAGTTGCCACCATTAAAATTACCTTACATATTACCTGAAGTTAGCCAATTAGGTGTATTCTCTTTATTACTTAAGTTACCTGTGAAATTTAACTTACGGTCTTTTTTGTTTTGGAGAATTTATGCCTTTGTGCTGTAGGTTTGGTTAGGTTAGGTTAGGTGAACAGGTAAGATACGTTCTGACATCACCAGTTAAGGGAAATAAAATTCAATATAAAATTCCATGAAAATTCAGAGTCAACACAACAACAACAACAAGAACCCCCTAACCCCCTCATAGCAACCAACCCCCACCTCCCTCACCCCCCCCCTCTATACAGCCACCTACACGTCAACAAGTCAAAGGTTAATTTAGCAACAATCACACCTCAGTCTAGCACACACACACACACACACACACACACACACACACACACACACACACACACACACACACACACACACACACACACACACACACACACACACACACCCAGACCCACACCCACACACACACACACACACACGCCATCAACTCTTACAACATTCATAATAATTACAAAAATGAAAACACATTCGAAAAATCTCCCCAGCATCAACATTACGAAAAAATAATCCCGGGTGTTGTGGGTTAATAATCTATAAAAAAAAAACCCACACATAAACCCTCATCTTGCGGCTGGCAGATGCGGAAGCTACGGCACCACCCCCACCACCAACAACAACCGTTCGTGGTGATTATGCAACATCCCGATGGCGGAGGAAATTACAGGCACAATGTTAAATATATACTTGTGGTAATAATTTCTCGTTAACCTCTGTGTTTGTTTATGGATGGATGTCTTGGGGGTCGTCGGTGTCTCCTCTTAGCGTCTGGAAATGGAAGAGTTTGAAGTGTGTTGAATGAGTGTAAAACAACCCCTCCCCCCAGTGAGGTCTGAATGAGCCGCGAGGGAGGGGGGAGGGGGGAGGTCATTTTGTCTTCTTTTTCTTCCTCTTCCTCATCATTGTCATCTTCCTCTTCCTTCTTTTCTTCCCCTCTTGTAGTAATTCCCATCACAAAATCTCGATATAACGGACTTTTCTCTCCGTATGGTCCGTTAAATAGAGGTGTATATTGCGTACTGATGGGGTTACACACCTGTTTCTCAGCTCCCTACGACAGTCAGCGAGCTCCCATAGTGACTGGTAGTAGGTATGTTGAGGGCCAGTTAACAGTCACTTAGTTCCATGGTGACTGGTAGTAGTAGTAGTAGTGTGTGTGTCTAACAGTCCACAAGTTCATGTATGGTAAGGTGACCCGCCGTCCAGTTTTTATCGACTCCCCTTCTCTATCCCCCCTCCCCCCCATACCTTCCATCCCTATCTCCTCCCATTCCTAAGAGCCAGTGTAGGCAGAAGACGAGCGAACTGTCGTCTGGTGTAATGGAGAAAACTTATTATTTCCGATGTTTGTTTACCTTAATCAGCTGAGTCACCGGTAACCAGGTGTCACTTCCCGGGCTCACTTGTTTGTTTACATATCACGAATATCAATAAGGATATATGTAACGTTACTTGAAATAATAATAATAATAGAACAATAATAATAACAAAAAACGTTAATAAAAATAATACAAGACTCCATTGCATCATAAACACAATATATAAAAATAATAGGATAATTTATCAAGCAAGAGAGAGAGAGAGAGTTAGCTCCTCACGGGTTGGCGGCTGGCGGTGATCTGTGACGGCCGCTGAGGTGAGGTTCTCTATTCACTCAACCATTAAATTACTACTATTTGGCCCAATCAAACACCAATGCCTTTTTTTCATTTCGTAATTAATATTATTTTCAGAATGTGACGTGAGTTTTCGTAATGATAGATATTAGTAATGAGAATTTTTTTTATAAAGTTTTTGAATGTATGAGATTCTTCGTTGGAGGAAAAAGTATTGGAACTTATTTTATTTCGTTGAGTTTCGGTGTTTCGTAATATTTTATTTTTATTAACTGAAGGATTATTACCCACGCTTTCACAATTATAAAAATGTTTAATTCTTATTTTTCGGATTTCTTAGGAAAATACCAACGCTCGAGAAATAATTATTGGAACATATCTTTTCTGTATATACTCGGTGGAGTTTCGCGCCTGACCAATTTTTAACGGAAATATTAGACAAATTTTTCACGATTATAAAAATATATAATACGTAGGAATAATATTAGAATTATTGTTTGTTTTCTGTAGTTTTTGTGGCAAACAGTATTGATACACCATGCTAGAACGAAGAAAAAAAATACTGGAACTGTTTACGTGTTTTCTGTACTAGTTGGAGTTTCCCGCCTTAGTTTACGTCTTGGGGAAAGTTACTCTCGCAGGCAGGAACGAGAGAACTTGTTTTTGCTCGTCTCCACAACACAACACTCAAGTTTATTCTCCTGTGTTAAACCTTAATTATAAATAGCGATAAGAACGCCGAGGTATTTATTAATGGCATAAGGCAAGGCTGATGACGTCACCCGCGCGGAAAAGTTGAAAGTTGTCCCAAGGTAAAAATAATAAAATCGTAATTTATAACCGTGTGATGGGTTTAGCATCGTTCATATAATAATAAAAACAAATAAAAGATATAACGTTATAGTCGATTATTTTATGAAAGGTGATTATGTTGATTAAAGTTATTTTATTCTTATTAATTCATTCACATACATACATACATACATACATATATACATACATACACCCCACCCCACAAACCCTTCCCTCACCACACACACACACACACACACACACGTACAGGAAGAAGAGAAACTAAAATAAACCTGACCGACCACAACACCAGCGGTCAGATATACATATTAAGTATGTCCTCTGGTCTAAGTTTCTCCTAGTGCTTCTCCTAGTGTTTCTCCTAGTGCTTCTCCTAGTGTTTCTCCTAGTGCTTCTCCTAGTGTTTCTCCTAGTGTTTCTCCTAGTGCTTCTCCTAGTGTTTCTCCTAGTGCTTCTCCTAGTGCTTCTCCTAGCTTCTCCTAGTTTCTCCTAGTGTTTCTCCTAGTGTTTCTCCTTCTCCTAGTGTTTCTCCTAGTGTTTCTCCTTCTCCTAGTGCTTCTCCTAGTGTTTCTCCTTGTGCTTCTCCTAGTGCTTCTCCTAGTGTTTCTCCTAGTGTTTCTCCTAGTGTTTCTCCTAGTGTTTCTCCTAGTGTTTCTCCTAGTGTTTCTCCTAGTGTTTCTCCTAGTGCTTCCTCCCCCTTGTCACCAACAGCCTTTTGTGGTGGTGCCTAGACGACGGTATTACTGGTTAGGTTTGGAGATAAATTAGGTGGGGTTGTGGTTAAGGTTAGATTAGGTTAGTTTGGGTGGAAACCGGTTCTAACGCAATCTAGCATAACCTCATTTTCGACGCTAGATCCCGCAGTTTCATGTCTAGGACTCTATTTTTACACGAGAACTCGATATTTTAGCCTTTGAACCTGCTATTCCGACATCAGGATATAATGTTTCGACTCTTAAACCCACGATTTCGACACCAGAACTTCCATTTTTCCACCAGAACCTACAATTTCCTCCCCAGAACCTCCATCTTTCCAGGCCTCTCTTGGCACACCTTCACCTGGCCAGTAAATAGGTTCTGTTTTCCATGACTGACGATGAGGCAGGTAAGAGGTCACGTCTTGGTGTTGTTGCTGACGGTGTTTTAAGACCTTTCACCTACACTCTAAGGTCACCTGGCACCCAGCAGTTCACCTGAGAAGGAGCAAGGGGCCTCTAGGTGACGTTAGGGGAAGCTAGGATGGAGGATAATTAGGTGGTAAATTACTGAGGGACCCAGCAGTTCATCTAAGGGAGAACAGGAGTATCTCGGTGGCTTTAGGGGAGGTTAGGTGGCGGGGTGTCTCTAGGTGAATGGTGACTGATGGGTGTAGTAACTCACCTAGTGGGAGATGTCTGGGTGATTAGGTGATGGTGATGGGAAAGATATCTAGATGGCCAGGTGAGGGGTGATGGGGGTATATCTAACTGGGAGGGGAAGATATCTAGGTGAGGGAGGTATCTAGGTGAAAGGTGGCCTCACCGATCGGAAAACGCGATAAGATCAGATTAACTGGGAGGGGAAGATATCTAGGTGAGGGAGGTATCTAGGTGAAAGGTGGCCTCACCGATCGGAAAACGCGATAAGATCAGATTAAGGAAAAACAACCATGAGAGAGGCAGTCGTTTACGTGATGGGGCTTATCTCGCTCTCTCTACTTCCCGCTACCTTTCCCTCCCATTCTCTCTCCCATTTATCCCCCCCCTCTTTACTTCCCCCTTCCCTCTTCACCTCTCTCTCTCTCTCTCTCTCTATCCATACCTCCTGACTCTCCTCACCCCTAAATCACACACACACACACACACACACACACACACACACACACACACACACACACACACACACACTAAACAGAGCACATTAAAAAACTTCACGATAACTAATATACCCTTTTATGATAATATTAATTAGGGGGGTGGGGTGACAAATTAGATGTGTCATCAGTATACCCGAGTGAGTATGTCGTATACTTCATCATACACAACACCACACAGAATATTAATAGACTTTCTAATGCCAGTGTGTCTGTTTACACAAAATTATCATAGAGAACGTTTTGTTGTAATATTAATAGAAATATATATAATACCAACATAATACAATTACTTACCTTTAATACAATACACTCGCCCACAACAATACACTTACCCTAAATCTTTCTTCCCTTAGGGCAATATACGCAATTCTTACTTTCCCAGCCATAGGAGCAGTGTTGGCTCTCTCTCTCTCTCTCTCTCTCTCTCTCTCTCTCTCTCTCTCTCTCTCTCTCTCTCTCTCACATCCCTTCACCTTTTCCCCTCTCTCCTTCCCTTCTCTACTCCCCACTCCTTCCCTCTCTCCCTCTCTCCACCATTCTCCATCCTTTTACTCCAACCCCCCACTTCTCCCTTCCTCCCCCCTCCTCCTCCCCCTCATCCTCTTCCAACCCTAACCCTTCCTTACCCTTCTTCCTCCCTTCCCTCACCCTCTCCTACTCCTCCACCACCACCCCTTCCTCCCCCTCACACCCTACCCCATCTCCCCACCACCCCTTCCTCTCCCCACATAGTTAAATGAAGATTTCGTGTTTTGCCCTGGGGAAATGTGTTACCCCGCTCTTATTCCAGGAGACTCCACACACAAACCCATTTATTACTATTCCAGCTCTCACAATGCATCACCCCCTCCCTTCACTCCTCCTGCCCTCAATTTCAGCCTTTGGTCAATGGAGAGACCCCCATCCTCCCTCCCCCTCAGCGTACGTCATGGCCTATCCATATCATTTCTTATTTTTTATTATTAGTTATTATTATTATTATTATTATTATTATACTGTATAAAATTTAAAGGTAAAATATATAACAAAAGAAGAAATCTAGTGTTTATATGAGTATGTTTGTATGTATGTAATGGGGGTATGTGTATATGTGTATATATATTTTGGTTGATGTATATAAGTAATGTATATAATTATGTTAGGATTATATACATTAGGTTACATTGTCTTTTGTTTTAAGAGGTTATTGTGTGTGACAATATATTATTATACAAAGACTTGCCTAAGAAATTCTTGACAATATTTTGAAGGTGAGGTAACAACTGAGAGAGAGAGAGAGAGAGAGAGAGAGAGAGAGAGAGAGAGAGAGAGAGAGAGAGAGATTCAGTGATTTTTAATACTATTTTTGGGTCGACTACATACATACATACACACCCTTCTCCCCTACACTCACACCCCCCGTCTCTCCAACGCACACAATTCCTCTCCCATTTATATCACCCTCCTCCTCTCCCCCTACACCCCACACCTCCCCTTCCCTCCCCAAACACCTCACAATTCTTCCCCCTTTTTCTCTTCCCCTTACACCCAAACACCTCACCTCCCCTCCCCTTACCCCTACACTCCCCCTCCTCTCAGGTATTACCGTCACACCTCAAGACACAGGTCGCAGGGTGTCGCCTCACCTCAACATATGGACAACTTGGAGACACACACAGCTGAGTTTTTCGGTGTCTTCTCCCCACTGTCACCACGGGGGGGGGTGAGGGGAAGAAGGAGGGGTGAAGCCATGGTGGGGAGAGGAGAGGATTGAGAAAAATATATAATAAACGAGAGAGAGAGAGAGAGGGGTACTGGTCATATGGCATTCTACTGCATAGTCCAAGAGCTGTGATCTGCATACTTATGTGCTGGGAGGGGGGGGCATGTGCAGTGGGGGTGTGTGTAGGTGAGGGTGTAGGGGTGTATAGATGGAGTGTGTGTAGGTGGAGGGATGTGTAGGTGGAGTGTGTGTGTAGGGGTGTGTAACTGAAGATGTGTCGGGAGAGGCTAGGTTAGCATGCATTAAGTTAGGTTAGTTTTAGTGGTCTGGTTAGGTTAAATTAGGCTAGTTTTAGTGATTAAGTTAGATTAGTTCAGGTTCGTGGTACATTCCCAACATATAGCCTGACTAGGACGGTCTCTCGGGTCAACATCGCCACCGCCTCATTTTCTTTCTATTCCATTTTCTGTTTTCGTCATTTTTATTCGTTTATTTTAACTATTTTTTTTCTCCTTTTTTTTTTTGGTTTAGTTGAAAGCTGTTTTGTATGCATCGTCGAGTTGCCATTTTGTTTTCGAACTATTTTTTTTTTACGGGGAGTCTGTTTTAGTTTTTCATACGCTTGTTTTATTCAATGTGTTTTTGTGTTTTTTTTCCAGGTCAGAGAAACCAACGCAATAGTTTAGGTTTTTTTATTGTTTGTTTCGTGTAGTTTATTACGTGTATATATATACTCATATATCTACAACATTTTATAGATTAGTAAAATATAAATAATGTTTCTACTCGTATTACAAAAACATTAATATATTTTTAATTTTTAATATTTTTTCTTTACCTTTGCGTTTCTTAAGTTTTATTAAATATTATATGAGAAAATTAAGATATTATATTTTCCCGTTTTCTTTGAAGCTTCCATGTTTTCTTTTATATTACAGGGTAGACTTTTGTATTCCGCCGTGATTATGGGGGTCCCAAAAATATACACGGTCGTTTAGTCGTCAAAGGCTACCTCTCCCGCCCCTCCAACCCTCCTTCCACGTCTCGTCTCTGTCCTTCACTCGAGAGCGTCAAGTAATCCTAAGACGAGAACGATGACGTGTTGTCGTGTCAGGTAAATGCTGATATTAGAGGTGAGGTTGTGAGATATGGGCCGACCTCATAATGACTTAGTATATGAAAACGAGGTGTCGTTCTTGATGGCGAACGAGGAGGAAGAGGAGGAGAGGAAGGAGGAAGGAGGAGGAGAGGAGAAGAGGAGAGGAAGAGGAGGAGGGAGGAGGAAGAGGAGAGGGAGAAGAGGAGGAGAAAAGAGGGAGGAGGAAGAGGAGAGGGAGAAGAGGAGAGGAGGAGGAAGATATAGCTGAGGAAGGACGACTTTAAAGCAGGAAACGACATAATTTGCTCTCTCTCTCTCTCTCTGAACGTGCGAGTGATTATAACGACCATAGCGTCTTTGTCGTTCTTCGGCTTCTTCATGAATACTAAAAACGACTTGTAAGGGCTAAGACGACCTGTCTTTTCCCTAGACACCAGATATTAGGATAACCACACACACACACACACACCCACACACACCCACACCCACACACACACCCACACCACACACACACACCCAACCCACACACACCCACACCCACACTGGCCCCACACACAACCCCACACACACACACACACACACACCCACACCCACACCCACACACCCACACCCACACACCCACACCCACACACACCCACCCACACACACACACACACCCACACCCACACACACACACACACACCCACACCCACACCTATCCCCCAACACCCACATTTGACACCCACACCCCCTCACCCCCCTACACCCACCCACACAACTATCCCACAAACCCACCCACACCCTCACCCCTACACCTAACCCACAACTATCCACCCACCCACACAAACCCACACCTTCTTCCACCCACCCACAACCCCCCCACACCCACCTACAAACCCACCACACACCCACACTCACCCAGCTGGCCGTCTCCTAACCTAACCTAACTAAACCTGACACCCACAAAGCCAACAGCTCTTGGTCGTTGTCCGTGACTCTGGATCGGTGGATAATTTACTCTGGCCCAGGTGGATATTTCAGGTGGATTGAGACATTAGAGGGACGGCGGGCAGGTAATTGGAAGGTAAGTGTGGGG